GGAAAAAAATGTTAAAAAAGGTGAAACAATTATTAAACAAGGTAAAACATAGAAACTAATTAAAAATAAGACTATATATGTATATATTTTAGGTGATGGTGGTGATAATTTCTATGTTATTGATAATGGTATTTATGAAATATATGTATCAAAACAAGAAGATTTTCGTGATCCAATTAGAGTTGGAGAATATAATCAAACAGGTTCATTTGGTGAACTTGCACTTATGTATAATCAACCACGTTCAGCAACAATAATTTCAAGTACAGATGGTATTTTATGGGTTATGGGACGACAAACATTTCGTAAACTTGTTTTAAAACATGCATTTCGTAAACGACAAATGTATGAAAATTTCTTACGTGAAGTTGATATTTTACAATCTTTAACTGATTATGAACGATCAAATGTTGCTGATGCTTTGATTCCAGTTGAATATGATGAAAAAGAAATAATTATTCGTCAAGGTGATGAAGGTGATCGTATGTTTTTTATTGAAGATGGTGAATGTGATATAGAAATGAATGGAATATTCCATAAACGCTTGCATAAAGGTCATTATTTTGGCGAATTAGCACTTTTAAATCATGAACCTCGATCAGCAACAGTTATTGCAGCTAGTACAAAAGTTAAATTAGCTTCATTGGAAGTTGAATCATTTGAACGTTTATTAGGACCATGTATGGATTTGATACATCGTAATACGTCCAAATATCTTAAAAAATAAACTATTTGAATTCTTATTATTACTATATATTATCATCCTTTTTGTCTTCTTCTTGTTTTATATTGCAGGAAAAAGGAAATTTTTAAATGATAGAATATTAGTCTATTTAATGTTTTTCTTTTTCAAACACAAACGAAAAGAAATATATAATTTATCTAAATACTTTTATTTTATCTTTAAATGACAAAAAGAAAAAATTATTCGTATAATATTGAATTGAAAAAATAAGATAAGATATTTTGTGGAACTCACGTAAATTTTCGAAGAAAATCGTGAGTGTAAG